GAACTTTGGACTTCTACAATTACTTAAATTCCTCCATTCAATTTCGCTTTAATTACATGTATACCGTGTTTTTACTTTGTGAATTATTATTGATTAATATTATCGATCGTATTTTATTTTCGTTAGGCTATATGCAACGTGATCTTTAAAAACAGCTATGACCTGCATTTTATATTTATTTACACAAATGCTGGCATCTGTTTTTAACTGTAATCGTTTTCAACTCTTCCCTCGACTTCAATTAAGCGGCAAATCTCGCCGATCAGTATTCGGTAAATTCGTTTGAGATGCCAGACGCCTCTCCCTGAATGAGGACGCGAATAGACAGCAACAGTCATCCTCTAAGCGTATTTGTGGCGGTTGTACAAGCGTCTGGGTGAACTCCATGCTGGTAGCGATAGCGCTGTACTATATGGAAGGCAGATAAAACCATAAGTCTTTAAACGGAACGCGTGAAATGTGACCGTGTCAACACCATAGACTGTATAAAAACATGGACGTAGTGTTCGTGACGTAACCCGTAGACTTCCGACAAGCGTTTTGAAGCCTAAAGTAGGCGGAGCCAGCCCGGTCAACACGCACAATTTTATGGAAGGCGAAACGAGCCATAAGTCTATATTACTATGCTTGCGGAAGTAAGAACACCCTGCTTCCCGTCAGTTGCGAAAGGAAGTTGCGTGACGTCATGTGAAAAGGGCCTATTGAGAGTAAGGATGAGTTCTAGGAAATATAAATTGGAATAAAGCTTGGCGTATTTGTGAAATATACTGTTTAAATAATAAAGTAAAAGAGGTTACATTTAAAATTTTACATGGTATATATCCAGCTAAAAGTGTGTTAGAGAGATTTAATTTGGATATTGATTATTCCTGTGATTTTTGTTCAGTGGAAAAGGAGTCTATTGTCCATCTGTTTTGTAACTGTGTTTACACAAGGATTTTCTGGGTGGATATGGAAAATTTCATTAGAAGGAAAACAAATATTATATTCAAGTTAAATAATTTTGATATATGTATGTATTATTCCAGTGAAAGTAATAATAATAATTTTACTTTATTTGTACAGCTTTTTATTATTTTGGGGAAATTTCACATACATAAGAAGAAATGGTCAGGATCCAGGCCAAATTTCATTCATTTTCTTCAAGAGACTAAGGACTACTGCACCAGTTTGGAGAACATTGTTAATAAAAAAGCAAAGACTTGTAATATTTTTCACGAATATAGAGTTTTTGATTAATGAATCAATGGTTTGTACACTCTGGCATGTTTTTGTAAAATATTGTATATTTTGTTCTGGTTAATAAAAAAAAAAAAAGGATGAGTTCTAGGGCTGCGTTCCAGTCCATTTTTTTTATGCCCTTCACTCCCAAACTTCCCTCCGTCTCGTTTACTCGGATGTACGTCATTGATTACGTTGCATGAGGGCCAAAGTGGAACGCACTTCAAAATGGCAGCGGAGATTCCCCCGAGGGGAAGTGCTTAGGGAAGTTCGCAAGTGCATGTCTAAAAGTGAACTGGAACGCAGCCTAGGTTTAATTTCAGATATAGATAAAACAAATATGGCAGAATTACAAAACAAATTAGACAACATATATAAGAAAAAGGCTGAAGGAGCCTTTATAAGGTCTAGGAAAAGATGGTTGGAGGAAGGTGAACAGAATACCTCCTACTTCTTTAGACTAGAAAAAAATCAGGCTACGTTAAATACTATTCATCAGTTAAAAATTAATGATAAAATATCAAAGGACCCTAAAGAGATTTCAGAGTTTTGATCCACCTTTGACCGTAAACTATATGCGTCACAATATGATGCTAAAGCCTCAAATGATTTCTTAAATTCACTGGGAGAGATTAAAAAAATTAATAATTTAGATAAAGCTATGTGTGACCAACCTGTTAGTTTAGAAGAAATAACCAATTCAGTTCATAACTTGAAAAATAATAAGTCTCCCGGAACTGACGGTCTTACCTCAGAATTTTATAAGTTATTTGATGAGCAGCTAACCCCTTTTCTTCTTTTAGTTTTTTCTGAAAGTTTATCTAAGTCCAACCTCCCATCTACCATGACTCAGGGGTTAATTACCCTTATCCCTAAGCCTAAAAAAGATTTGACTATTATTGACAATTGGCGGCCAATTAGTAAACAAATATGGCAGAATTACAAAACAAATTAACATATATAAGAAAAAGGCTGAAGGAACCTTAATAAGGTCTAGGAAAAGATGGCTGGAGGAAGGTGAACAGAATACCTCCTACTTCTTTAGACTAGAAAAAAAATCAAGCTACATTAAATAATATTCATCAGTTAAAAATTAATGATAAAATACCAAAGGACCCTAAAGAGATTTCAGAGTTTTGCTCCACCTTTACCGTAAACTATATGCGTCACAATATAATGCTAAAGCCTCAAATGATTTCTTAAATTCACTGGGAGAGATTAAAAAAATAAATAATTTAGATAAAGCTATGTGTTACCAACCTATTAGTTTAGAAGGAATAACCAATTCAATTCATAACTTAAAAAAATAATAAGTCTCCCGGAAGTGACGGTCTAACCTCAGAATTTTATAAGTTATTTGATGAGTAGCTAGCCCCTTTTCTTCTTTTAGTTTTTTGTGAAAGTTTATCTAAGTCCAACCTCCCATCTACCATGACTCAGGGGTTAATTACCCTTATCCCTAAACCTAAAAAAGATTTGACTGTTATTGATAATTGGTGGCCAATTAGTCTTTTGAATAATGATTATAAATTAATTGCCTCTATATTTGCTAAAAGAATTAAGAATGTATTAGAATATATTATAAATGAAACTCAATCAGGCGTTATGAAAAACAGGCATATTTAGAATAATATAAGGTTGGTTTTATATATATTAGATTATTCATATTTAATTGATGAAAATAGTTTTATTTTATTCTTAGATTTTCGCTGCTTGTAACCCAATTATTATCTGTGCATGTTAAAAAAAGTATTCTTAAGGGAGTCTCAATTGCAAATAGAGAAATTATTATAAGTCAGTTAGCCGATGATACAACCCTTGTTTTGAAAAATAGTGGCCAAATTACAATTGCAGTTAATCTTATCAATACATTTTCTAGTGCCTCTGGTCTCAATATTAGTAAGTGTGAACTAATGGCTGTTAAAGACTGTGATTTAATAGATATTTGTAACATTCCTGTAAAAGATAGTGTTACATACTTAGGAATCATTATTGTTAAAGACCAGCTGAAAAGATGTCCTCTCAATTTTAACCCCATAATTGATAAAACTAAAAGAAAATTCAACTTCTGGCTTCAAAGAGATCTCTCCCTAAAGGGAAGAGTTCTCCTTACGAAGGCTGAAGGTATAGCCCGACTGACATATGCCTCTTTATCTTTGTATCTTGATAACCATACTAGTAAAAATATTGATAAGATGCTATTTGATTTCCTATGGAGAAATCGAACACACTATGTTAAAAAGACTGTGATTATGAATACATATGAGAACGGTGGCCTTAATTTCTTAGATTTCACCACTATGAACCACACCTTTAAGATTAATTGGATTAAGCATCACTTAAAAAACCCCACTTCTGTCTGGAATTTTATCCCTCATTATGTTTTTTCAAATATTGGTGGTCTTAGTTTTGTTTTGATGTGTAATTATAATATAGATACAATTCCAGCTAAGCTGTCTGCCTTCCACAAACAAGTGCTCCTATCTTGGTCATTAATATATAAGCATAATTTTTCTCCGCATCGCTATTTCATCTGGAATAATTGAAACATTCTTTACAAACATAAATCTCTTTTTTTTTAAGAACTGGTTTGACAACGATATTAAATTGGTTAGTCAGTTATATAATAAAGAAGCACTCCTTTCTTATGATGAATTCCTTTCTTATTGTAAAACGCCAGTTACTCAAAAAGAATTTGCAATTGTTATTGGTTCAGTCCCTTCAGGTACTCGCATGCTATTTAAAGGTATTGATATAGTCCATTCTCCCGATTCAGTGTCTTTTGATGGTAGTAAATCTTATTTTGGTAAAATTTGTTTTTCATTAAATCCCAAAAATAATAATAGAGCTATCCGTACTCTTTTCCAAAGAGAAATTGTTACTGCACCTTATGTTTTGTCTCATTGGGTCTCTTTATTGAACGGACAATTTATTTGCTGGAGAAAAGTGTGCTTGTTACCACAGAAATATCATCCTAGAAATAAGATTAAAGTTTCTTATAAGCTTATTCATAGATTTTATCCAGCAAATCATTATTTACAAAAATTAAAAAAAGGAATAAATGTAAATTGTATTTTTTGTAATGAGTATGAGGAAACTGCCTTGCACTTATTTTGGTACTGTACATACTCGGTTACACTATGGTGTAAGGATACTCAGTTACACTATGGTGTAAGGTCCAAAAATGTATTAGCGGAAATATTCAGAGTTTAAGACCTTCTAAGACCTATGGGAAAATGTACTCTTTGGCTTTACTGACTATCCTGACCAAGAGGAACAGTACTTTTACTGAATTAATTGACTTATTCTATTGACCAAATTTCACATTCATAAGTGTAAATTTACCAATAAAAACCCCAATTTTATGGTTCTGTTGACGGAAATTTGTATATATATTGACAGTATCAGAGACTCTGTGAATAAGAAAGCTGAAAGAACTTTGAAAGTTTGTGAACTTTACAATATATTTATTTGATTTTATATATACGTACAAGTGTATGTATATTTTTGTTTTGAAGTTTTATACTTTCCCCCCCCCTGGCGACTGTTTTTGTTTGTTGTAATTTGTCCTTCTATCTTTTTTCTTTTATTATTTTAATGTTGTTTTCTTGATAACATATTGTGTGTTATTGTTCTTTGAATAAAATAAAATAAAAAGTTCTAGGTTTAATGAGTTGTTAGTTTTTTCCAGTAGTTGGCAGAAATGAGCTGATCGCGCGTAGGGGAACAGGAAGAAGGAACCGGAAGAACAACGTCATTGAGCGACTAGTACGTATAACACGAGGCGAAAGCGGTTAAGTTTTTTCTGTTCTGAAGTAGCAAAGCGAGAATGTGTGCTCAGACAAAAAAAAAAAAGATAAAAATACGGATATTTTCTGGTAAGACTGTTTCCACTGATTTACAATAATGTATATATATTTTTTTCTCCTATAACGTGTTGTGATGAAACCTAAACTGAAAATAGCTGGAATTACCGTCGGATGGTTCAGTGGTGATGATCGGTTTTCTGAGCACACTAAATGTAGACGAAGTATTTAAGACGTAAGAATGTATGAGCTGTTCTGTAACAATGTGTATCTTCCTAGGTCTTTTCTGAGGGCTTCACAAATTTATGGTGAGTTCTGCAGAAATGCTGTTACTTATTTTAAACAGGCCGAGTTCATTGTGATGAAACCTAAACTGATCATAGCTGGAATTACCGTCAGATTGATCAGTGGTGATAGACGGTTTTCTGATTTGAAACAAACCCTGTTTAGCTTCTGTGAAATATGGCCTGTAAATTGATTGTGTTAATTTCCCCAACAGATTTCGTCGGAGGAGATTTGGACAGCTTTATCCTTAATCTTCATCTTAAGACTTATTTTTTGTTAACTGCTGCCTGTCCCATGAATTTCATATTTGTATTTTTTATGTATTGCAACTAAATTCCCAATAAAAGTTATTGTTTGTTCAAATATTGTTTTCTTCATTTATTATGTTTCTGTGGTTGTTACTGACATGTTAGCACTTTTGGATGTGCATATTGCACACCAAGGAAAATATTGCTTTTAAATAAGGGTGAGGTGGCTAATAAATTTACCTTTCCCCATCTGCGTTTATTTTTAAAAGCCTCAAACCCAATACCTTAAACTATGGAAGAACTTCTCACACAAAAAGAAGAAAAATCGTTGTGCACTGCAGCAACCAAGATGCTTTGCCACAATTAACATGTAGGATTGTTATTTTGTTTTATTAACTGACAATAAAGTGAAATTTACACACCAAAAAAAAGCTTAATTCTCCCCAATTTTACAAACACTTAGGCTCACTAAAGCATTTAAATTATTTGCCTTAACCAAACCCATATGTACTGTTTAAAAGGGGGAGATACAATGGTCAATCCATTTGCTAGTCGTCATCTTTTTCAATGTAGGGCTTTGCAGCAAAACGAGCAAGTTGGCGGGCCAGATATCTCTCTCTGGCTGAATTTAGAGTCTGGTCACTGCTGCGTTTTGCAAATTTACTAGGATTCTGTTGTGCATCACTTTTGTCCTCCATTTCCACAACCTTTTCTTCTTTATCATTGTCAGTCTTCCTTTCGCTCATTTTTTCCTCATCCTGGCTTTTCCTTTTGTTGTCCATTTTCTGGCTTTCTCTGTCCCTCTGATCTCTCTCTCCCTTGCGGTCCTGTTCTCCATCCTTCGGGCTGTTATCTTGTCTGTCTCGCTCTCGTTCTCCTTTACGATGTCTTTCTCTGTCTTTCGGGCTGTTGTCTCTTCTGTCTCGATCTTGCTCGTCTTTCCCGTCCCTTTCTCTGTCTTTTGGGCTGCTGTTTCTTCTGTCCCCGTTACTATTTCTGTCATCTTTGTCTCTGTCCCTCCTTTCTTGGCCTCTGTCGTCTTCTCTGTCCCTATCTCGCTCCCTCTCTCTTCTGCGGTCCCTGTCCTCCTTTCTGTGACTGTGCTTGTCCTCTCGGTCTCTGGCCCTCTCTCTATCTTTATCCTTTGCTCTATCCCTTTCTCTTTCTTTGTGACTCCTTTCTTTAATCTCTTTCCTGTCACGCTCTTGCTCATCGTCACTATCTGAAAGAGGGGATTTTTGTCTGTAGTGACGTTTTGAGTGGTTGCTGTTTGTGGTGGTCTTAGTGAACGCAGCTTTTTTATCACTCTGGTCCTCATCGCTGTGGGATTCTGCCTCGCTCTCTCTTTGTTTCACTGTGGGTTCCGGGGTTGGTGACTGTTCTGCTGCTGCAGAGCCTGTAGCCTTCTCCTCTCTAAAACAAGTTACAGTTGATTATTAATAATTTTATTAGACCTAAACAGACCTTCAAATAGTTTCTGCATTTTAAAATGTGATGTAACAAACAAAGTGCACTTAGGGATGTAATTTGACTGTGTATCTCTTTTCTCGTATACTATATTTTTCATACTATATTAATTTAAATGTTAATTTATGTGTCATCATATTTTTTATTATTAGAGGAGTTTGTTTCTTCAACAGAAATTGTTTTTTTTTTTATTTAACAAGATTACTTGCTCACCAATTGATCCTCTGCAGTGAATAGGTGCCATAAGAATGAGAGTCCAAAAGGCTGATAAAAACATTTTAAAAGAAGTAATTTATACAACTCCAGTCAATCTATTACTGTCTTGTGAAGTGAAAAGCTGCATGTTTGTAAGAAACAGATTGTTTTAACTTTAAACTGTTGCTCCAGCCAAAATACCAGTCCATAATCCATAATATTAAAGTGCATCAAAATCCACCAACATATTTGTTTGAAACTGTTTTTTTTTTCACTTGTAGGCCTAAAATGTCAGACAATATAATTTTTTTCACTGGAGAAAGCAATATTATGGATCAAGCAGTTGTATTTTAGTCGGAAGCAGAGGTTTGAATTTACACCTAGATGGAATAATTGGACTGGAGTTGTGTGGATTATTGTGATATTTTTTATCAGTTGTTTTAACTCTTATTCTGAAGGCACCCATTCACTGCAGAGGATCCACTGGTGATCCATTGATGTAATGCTAAATTTCTCTTACCTTAGGGTGAGTAAAGTTTATTTTTTGGGTGAACTATTCTGGGGTATGTAAACTTATGAGCAGAACTGTACCAAAAGACCATTTATCTGTAACAATCTGGAGTATTTAATTGTGTTTTTATGCACTTTATACTTGAAGTTCCTACTTGTTTTGCACTCATGCATACTTATCTGCCTCATTTTTTACTTAAGAGCAGTTATTTTAGCTGTCCAAAAAGTGTCTGTTATGCTGCTTGATATTGCAAACCGTTATTTTTCACATTCATTATCATAATCATAAACATACTGGTTTGTAGCACAAATAGCTTTATTGATTACTACACTTTGGTATACTTCTAGTTATTGACTTATAGCGGATAATGAATCTAAAGTCTCACACATTCACAGGAATGTTACTTCCTTGTGTTGCAAAATAAGGTGGTTATCAATTGGTAAAATCACTACAAACATATGCCTCACCTTTGAGCACTACGATCAGGCACTGCCTCCTCTCCGACTGTCTGGTTGAGAAGATGTCTATAAAATCCACTGAGATCCTTCTGCTTCTTGACATCCAGTGCAGCTGAAAATGAAGAAGAAAACTAAGTATGTCCACTTTAATACTCATAACAACAATGCATTATACTACAAGAACTCACCTTCTAACTCTGCTTCCCTCTTCTCTCTCTCCAACTCCTCCTGTCTTTCTTTAAGTTTTTGGCGATACGCTGTGGTGACAAAAGCCTCTTTATCAGCAAACATCTCGCCCTCTGCTTCCCTTTCCTTCTGGATCTTCCTCTCATCACGACGTTCCTGTTCCTTCTTCCTCTCTTCGACTGCACGGAGCAGTTGGTTAATATACTTGGGCTAAAAGAACAGCACATATGTTCATTTTGAAACTGAATTGTTGTCAGTTAGGAATTACAATGTCCTACTACAAAAAAATCTGCAAAACAATATTCTAATATAAAAGCTATAAAGACTTATATTGGGTTAGAGTAAAAATGTTTCTATATTGAATGAATAAAGAATTGTTGTCAATTAGGAATTACAATGTCCTACAAAAAATGACTGCAAAACATAATATTCTAATATAAAAGCTATAAAGACTTGTATTGGGTTAGAGTAAAAATGTTTCTATATTGAATAAATAAAGTATTTTTTTAAATAATATTTAAAATATACCTTTCTGTCTGTGCCACCTAGCAATTTCTTATTGCTTTCCAGTCTCTGTTTCTGAATATCATACACACTGTCATACTCATAGACAGTGCTGTCCTCTTCAAGTGCCTTTTGCATCTCAAGACGGGTCTGAATTGGGAAAAATAAATAAATAAACTGTTTTCAACACCATAAATTACATAATTATGCAACTGTTCTTGGGATGTCTTCCATCCTTACCTGCTTCATCATCTTCTTTTTGACTGCCTCCTTCTGCAAGCTCTCCCCAACCGAGGTCTACAATATAAAAGACTGTGTTTTATTACAGTGCACTTAAAAGGGATACTCCACCCCAAAATGAAAATTTTGTCATTAATCACTTACCCCCATGTCGTTCCAAACCCGTAAAAGCTTCATTCGTCTTCGGAACACAATTTAAGATATTTTGGATGAAAACCGGGAGGCTTGTGAGTTGTGACTGTCCCATTGACTGCCTAGTAAATTACACTGTCAAGGTCCAGAAAAGCAGTGCCGATCCTAGACTTGTGGGGGCCCTACACAAAACTGTGTCGGGGGGTGGTGGGGTATGACTGGTTATGAACGAATGAATGAAACGCATTTGTCCGTGTTTCACTCCGTCTCGAATCGCGCTCGCAGAAAGCGCTTGAGAAACATCGTCTTTCAACCCTTTCAACTCGTTTTTTTTAGTCTCGAGCAAGACTGTACGACATTCACATTACATGATTTGACTGATTTTTATGTAGAAAGGGCGACAGCGAACCGCATTAAAAGAAATTATCATTCATGTTTTCATAACCGCTGGCCAAATTCAAAAACGAAACTAAAATGAAATCATCTTTGAGAGCAAGGGGGCCCCCTGGTGTTTCGGGGGCCCTACGCAGCTTGCGTATTTTGTGTATAGGGAGGATCGACTCTGCAGAAAAGTATGAAAGACATCGTCAGAATAGTCCATCTGCCATCAGTGGTTCAACCGTAACGTTATGAAGCGACGAGAATACATTTTGTACGTGAAGAAAACAAAAATAATGACTTTATTCAACAATTTGTCTCCTCTGTGTCTCTCCACATCACCGTAGCACCATTTTGGAGAATATCCGCTGAACGCAAACTGTGTACGCTATTCTGTGTCAGCCGCGACACAAGGATATGTTTTCTACGTGTATACACTTTGATTTGAACGAAAACAGCGCATCTGTGCAGCGTGGCTGACACAGAAGAGCGTACGCTGCTTGCGTCCAGCGGATATTTACTTGGCAGTCAATGGGACAGTCACAAGCCTCCCGGTTTTCATCCAAAATATCTTAAATTGTGTTCCGAAGACGAACAAAGCTTTTACGGGTTTGGAACGACATGGGGGTAAGTGATTAATGACAAAATTTTCATTTTGGGGTGGAGTATCCCTTTAAAGAAAGCAATATGTAGATTCATAGGAGCTGTCACCTCATCATCAGAATCATCTCCAAACACAGAGGGGCGGGAGAGAGGTGCAGATTTTGATGCATTCTTCCGGGGCAAAATGAGCCCATACCTGAAATGCACAAAGCATGAATACAGCTTAGTATCTACTATGTGGGATGGTTAATTAAGACTTAGTTTAACACTTTCATCTTCTTTTTTTTTAACAACCACTGTCTCTGCTGAAGAAAAAAAAAACAGTTAAAAGCAGCCAGTGCTGGTTGGCTGGTCTTAGCTCGACTCCCAGTCTGGTCATAGCTGCTTTTAGAGGGGTTTTGACTAACGTTAGCTGGCCAACCAGCTAGAAGCAGCTGAACGCCAGTTTGACCTAAACGTTGAGACACCAGATTAAACCAGCTACGTCCATTTGAAAGGCCATTAGCGGTTTTAGTAAAATGCAACATGTAAATACAGTTTCTTTACGATTTATAATGTGGGTAATCTGATCGTATGCTCATGTGTTTTGGGGATAGCAGTATTAGCTCATTGGCTCGCACCATTTTGATTAGCTCATTCTTATCAAGATACTCTTTAACAACATGCTTACACAAATATTGTACAATGTCCGTCGTTATACACAATAAATTATTTAACTATGTCTTGTGTAATTGGACAAATTAACTGTAAGTTAGCATGGGGCACTTACTGTTTACCAGAGCTCGCCATCTTTCTTCGATAAATAACTGGCGTATAGCAGATTCGATAACTTAAAATCGATTCAGCGTAAAAACAACAAAACAGAAACGGAAGGTAATTAATCACAAGTATTTTACAAAACAACGATAAAAATAAATTACTCTTTGCATGATTATAAATGAGCCGTAATGATTCCGTTTACATTGTTATGAAAGTGTCGTATGTGAATTGAATGATGTTGCTTTTACAAATTTGACTTTTGGGAGTGTCCGTAAAACGTTTCACCAATAGAACATGTATGTTTACAATTATAAACATGCATGACTATTGGCTCGGCATGCATGTTTATAATTGTGCATGAATTAAGTTTAATTATTTTTAATAGCTGAATCTCAAAGTAAATATAGGGTTTTTAACTGCAGCACCACCCATTTTCCCCCTACAATTTCACCGTTTGATAAAGCTTTCAATGAAAGAAATGTTTAAATTATTTTAATGGGATTTGGAGAAAAAATTAATTCAAGAAAATGTAAATATAAACAGTTAATATTTATTAAAATGAATAATGATTAAAATACAGTTCATATGACAATACATTTAAGCTATTTCCATATACAAGACAAATATTCGTATGCTAAACATGAAACGCTATTGCTGAAACTGAACTCTTCAACAAGATACAGAACAGGCTTGCCACTAGGTGGTGACAATCTCTTTAGTATTCATAGCTTTCAGTCACGTGACCGGCTCGAAGACTTGGAGGGCAAAACATCCATAGAACTGCAGCAGAAGCCGGTCAATTTTCCATCTGTTTATTTTACAGCCGCAAATATTTAGATCACCTCTCAAAATAATAAAACAAAGGTATGTGAACAAAATGCAAGTTTTGGCCATTTGCAATCCATATGAAGCACCCGCGGCAATATTTCAATCATTAAACAGTGCGCTTGCGCGTGCCTTACAATGACTTACACTTGTAATTTAGCTGTTATGTACCTTTGTATGCACTACTTGCTTTATGCAAGCACTATATAGGATAAATCACTAAACAGGATTTACCCTATTATACTTTATCGAAACGAATTGATAGGTGAAACAACAAACAGCCACCCATACACATGACACTGAAGCTTCAAAACGCGTATCTGGTAAGCAGCGCAATTTCTGACGAAGCTCTGTGCCGGAGCGTGTCTGTTTTCAGAGAATCACGTGATCAGCAGAAAATGAAGCCTCACTTTCTGTCCAATCACGTGCGCGTGTCGGAATGTTCGAAACTCCTTACTTTACGAGTAAGTTTTCATTCAGACTTATTCAATAAAATTTTTAAATATCCAGTCATACAAGTAATATGAAGAATACAAATTATTTCATTAATCTTTTCCCGAAACAGTCAGAGGAAAGCCTCAGTGCTTCATGAATCATGAGGCTTCATTTGCCCATCACTAGAGCAAAGCTTCGTTTTGCCCTCCAGGTAGACGTTCCTATAATTGTGTCACGTGAAAACTATCAATTGCACTAAATCAACAAACACCACACCCCAGCCAAGTTAGTGTCATGCTTTTGTAAAAAAAAAAGAAAGCACACATTTTATTCATTTAGCAACAGTCTTACAGAACAAACAGTGTTAGGAATATTTGAATCCTACAGATGTTGTTCATGTTGTTTTCTAATATGTGGGACCATCTATATAGGCCTACTGTATGTCATACATATATTACAAAGGTTGATTTGATTAAAGGTTGCTCTACTTTTTTTAATGGTTTGTAGCTTGTAATTGAATACAACATTTGTTATTTCTATTATGTGTATAAGCATATTTTGACTAGCCTACATATCCATGATATGATTTTTGCCCATTTTAAAACAAGTTCACATTTTTGCTGGTTTTCTGTAAATGTACAGTTTTTTTTCTGTAACGTGTGTTGTGCTGATTTGAGTATTTTAAATGATTTTAAAGTAGTTAAATACGTCAGACGGCATTCCTTCTATTGTATCCCACCATTTACCCAAACTCTGTTATACCTGCCGTAATCCTAATCTCATTTTCTCTACTCTCACTGTTAATGTCATTCAGTGAAACTTAGGTAAACAGTGGAATCATGGATGTGGTTGAATGCTTAGAGGCAAATAAAGCAAAATAAGGTAAGAGAAAGTTTCCACTAACATACTGGGTGAAGTTGTGTGTCAAACGGTTAGAGCCATGAAGTGTACCTATTCATCTTTGAAAGTATCACATGGGCCACAAAGAACTAAGTTGCATTTTCTTTGGCATGTGTGAAACAGCAGTGTGGGAGTGGAGGTTACGAGCAAAAGAAAAGTCACAGCTTGTCTGTAAACCCATTTCCTGTCTGCAGAAACAGAGATACTGTTATGTATGTTTGTATAGCCTATATGTATGTATGTATGCATGTATGTATCTATCCAGGGCACTCAAGTTATATCAAAAGTTTGGAGTGAGATTAGGGGAGGAGCCACTCAAATATTTGCAGCAGTGGCCCTTCTCTCAATTTTTTGCTAGTTCAATGTTACCTGTTGTTTATAATTGACCAGCACAAATTTACTCACCTTCATGTCGTTTTAAACCTGTATGAATGTATTTCTTCTATGGAACACACAAGATGTTTTGAAGAAAGTTGGTTATCAAACATTTTTGGTTCTCATTGACTTCCGTTGTATTTGTCCATACAAAGGAAGTTAATGTGAACCGAAACGGTTTGGTTACTAAAATTATTTTTTATTTTTATTTATTTATTTATTTGCACTTTATGTGTGTGTGTGTGTGTGTGTGTGTGTATTTTAAATAGCCTAAATTATTAATATAACCCCACTCTTTTTTTTATTTTTTATGGCGTTTAACTATAACTAATTTCACACGCTTCTTTAGTACATACAGTTAACCATGGCTTGAGGCCACTGAATCTTGACAGCTGGCGGTTCCGGCGCATGCGCAGAGCAGTCACAGAGAGGAAGCGCGACAGTGCAGTATCAATGGAAGAGCTGCGGCTGATATCCCCTGACACAATTATGTCTGTCTCGCCACCGCCAGTTTCTCTCAGGTATCCGTTTACCGGAGCCTGAATGGCGTTGGTAACTGTGCAGCGGTCGCCTACTCCAAGCGCAACATCCAGTCCGTGCGTTTCGGTAAGTGACTCACATCTTTTTTTCTTTATTTATTTATTTAACGATTCCCTTGTCAGGCACCCCCACCATATATTTTCCATGTAATAAAATGTTTAAAAAAAAAAACAACAACAAAAATTTTACCATCTCTCTCTCTTTTTTTTTACTTTGTTTCCTCACTACTAAAAGCAAGGTCTGTTAATATGATAAAATTATTGTAATTAATTATAATTTCCCACCAGCCTTTAGGCGGCATGATGAATATTATAAAATTCAATAATAAAAATAGTGTCTAGCACAACATATTTAATAAATATTTAAGACACTAACTTTGACACCCATCTAAATTTACATTTACATTTAGAATCTCTCAGATATTACTGCTTGCAATCCAGTTTGAAATCACTTTTCACCTAGAGAAATGTTAGCATTTGTAGGTCATTTTGTATGTATGGGTAAAGGGCAAGACCTATTAAAATGCAATTCATTTTTACCACTACAGAGTTGTATGATATGTCAAGTGTTTTCTATTCAGTTGCTGAAACTGCAGCCATGATGGTGCTGGTAAAATCTGGGTCTGTATTACAGAGGTTGAAGGTTCGCTTTCAGGTTCTAGGAACCAATATCTACTTTTGACTGTTATCTTCTTGAGCAATACACTTAAAAAAAAAAATTCCAACCTGTTTGCTAAACATGTTCTGTTAAAGTGCATATTGCAGGTTAGAGACCCAGTGAGTCAATGTATAGAAAAATATTGTAAGAACTAGATTTTGTTTAAAATATACTTATAAATACGCTACTTGAGGCTTCTGGAGTCATTTTTGTGAGGGAGGGAGTGCGGTCAATTTAAACAATAGGAAAACAATGGATCGCAATGACAGTTTGGACGCTGAGGAAATTGTAAATGTTTATTCATACTCATATAACGGACCACAGCCATACAATTATGTGCCTGCTATGCGGCCAAGAGAGCAGGGACAGGCCAGGATTATTAATTAAAGTTTACTACGACTATGAAGACTACGAATAACTTTGCCAAGAGGTCTTTATATATATGGGCTGGGTTTTTCACATGACACAAACGATTATAACAAAGAGTCAATTCTGCTGTTTTCCACATGCACCGCGATCTCTGCCAGTTCATTATAATGTAGTATAATAAACATATCCTATCACACAGTATTCAAATCCAGAACAAATGAGCTTTTATTAATATTGATTTAATGTTATGCACAGTAATTGTTATGCCTAAATTTAGGCAGAACCTTAATTTTTTGAGGTGCATGACACCACTCTTTTTTTTATTTTTATTAGGGATGTGCGCGACGACTAATTTGACTGTCGTTTAAACGAAAGTTTTGTATCCGACTAGTCGACTAGTCTAAAAGCAAGAAACCCCCAAAAGATGGTAAGAAAAAAAAACCTCTGTGCGTGCGAGTAGCATATATAATAGCCTATATTTGAAATACTTAATCTATGAATCACACTGTCAAATCCCTCAATGAATTCCGCTTGCCGCACACTTGCCTCGCGTTATCATCATTTCATTTTAGGCGGTCGTTAAAAAGAAAAAAGAAAAAAAAGAGTATACACTCACCGTCGGCCAAAGCATAGCTTATTTATTCAAATCAGCTGGGGAAATGCAGAACAATGGAAAATCAATCAATAGCCTGACAGAATTCTTCATCTTCATATATAACGTTAGCCAACATATTAAAACAAGTCAAAAACAATAGGAAGGTTTATCAAGAGATAGCAATAAAACGTACTTTGTGTAGGCTATATTGCCTAAAAACAAAATGCAACAATGCCCATTTTACTTACTCAGACCATGTCTGGCGCCTCCATGTCCTGCAAAGCGCGCTTTAGCTTGTACTCTCCGCACAAACTATTGGATATAGCGCACATTTATCTAGGTTTAACATTTAAGCATTGTTATATGCTTGAACTGTTTTATATCTATAGATTTTATTTTAGGCAAGTCGTGATGATTTGAGAAGGCTAAATTGATCAAACATAGGCTAC